TCACCTAAGCCATCAACACCATTTCATAGTAAGTATAGTAGAATAAAATTAACACGTTTCTATGATCATTCTATGGTAGTCTGCCTTTTCTACTATGTAGCTTGTTTTCCTATGTTTTTTTTTTCAATATTTTCCTAAGGATGCCTTCCTTCCTTCCTTCCTTCCTTCCTTCCTTCCTTCCTTCCTTCCTTCCTTCCTTCCTTCCTTCCTTCCTTCCTTCCTTCCTTCCTTCCTTCCTTCCTTCCTTCCTTCCTCCTTATTGTAGTCAATCTATGCTTTGAGTAATGAATTATTTAGAATTACATACCTAGAATATGCTTTCTTAGAACAAATAATTTTCCTCAGTGTGTACATTGTTATGAAAGTACATGTGCCTTCCCCCCATGGACTCTAACACAATTTTCTTTTACCTCTGTCAATTTCCATCTTCTTATTTTCCTTGCCTACAGTGAAACATGTAAAAGAAAAGAATCTAGTGCATCTGAAACTAGTAGGTGGACTGGTAAAAAAGAAAAGCTCTCTAATGCCAGGATAGGGTGTGACTATCTTTTAGTTCATAGCAGTTTTATGTTTTTCAAAGTTTTGTTCTCTCCAACTACTTGTCTTCTATTTACACTACTTAACCTCATTTAAGAGCTGTTACCTGTTCTTGAAATGCTTTGCAGTCTATAAAAGTCTGGAACATGTAGTAGAAACACCCTTGGAGAGAAGTATTAATGAGAAAAAGTGAACTTGTACAAAAATTTTAAAGAAACTCAACTTTTACCTGGCTAGAGATATTATAAATTTTGCTTCTTAATCGTCTACGAAAAAGCAGGGCCCATTTATGTGTTTTGAAAGTCCTTTAACTCAGAATTACTTCTGATACGCCTAGTTCTCTGAAGACTATGGTATTAAGTCTCAAAACATGACTTCACCCCAATTTCATCATATGTCCCCTATTTTTCTTGTATATACAGATTTATATAAAGAGATGAAAACTCTTGATAAGATCAAAAATGATAAGATGTCTGTAGATGAATTGTACTCCCAACTCTTGAATGCTGGAATTCCATTAAGCAGCAAGACATTCCACGAGATTCTGGATCGAGCATCTATTGATGGTGAGTCATTTTTGAGAGAATAATCTATGTTGAGCTTAACGAAGTCCTAGTTTTACTATGTGCTTGGGAAATGTGTTGTAATATGTATGTTTTAGATAAACTACATCTTAAAAGTATAATGAGAACATAGACATATTGAGAGCTAATTAAATTTCATATTTTTTTCTTGGCAATATTTTTAAGAGGCATCCTCTGTTTACTTGGCATAAAATCTATAAAGCATATGCATCAAATTTTAATTATTTCAATCAAATAAATTAATATAGTTAGAATTTTTCTTGTTTTAAGGGAATAGATTCTACATAAAACTTTTGAACTATTAGTTTATAATCTAGTGAATTTTCAGAATTATAAAATTTGTCCTGCCCCAAATTTCCATTATGATTACTTTATTATTATCATTATTTACATATTACCATTTCCTATCCTTGTACTTTATGTTTTAGGAAATAGTGCAATAAGTCTCAAACAAATTTTGGAAGCTTTGGACACAAATAAGTCAGCTCCTACATTTGAAGGTGAGTCAGTCAGTATTTAATTTTAGATATTTGTCTGGCTTGCATTGATTTTTGGCATTACTATTATTTTTAAAACAATGTTATAAGGTAGAAATTACATGCAAAAATCTATATTTTTATAATTAAATTGCAGTTAGATAAAATTTGGCATATACACACTCCCATGAAATCATCATCATAAACAAGATAATGAACATATCACTCACCTTCCAAACTTCCTCATGCCCCTGTGCAATCTGTCCTAGCTTCCCCATTCTCTTCTTCATCTTCAGGCAACCACTGCTCTGCTTTCTGTTGGTGTAGATTTGTTTTCATTTCCCAGAAATTTATATAAGTGAATGTGATTTTTTTTTGGGGTGGGGAGGGGCTGAATTTTTCACTTGGCATAATGAAATTCCTCTATGTTGTAGTATATATCGTCAGTTCATTCCTTTTCATACTGATAGTACTCCATTTTATAGATATACTATAGTTTATGTACTTATCTAGTGATACACATTAGGTTGTTTCCAATTTTTGGCTACTCAGAATAAAGAGTCTGTGAACATTTGTATATAACTCATTACACATATATGCTTTTATTTCTCCTGGGTAATAACATAGGAGTAGATTGGCACAATCATATGACAGGTGTATGTTTAACCGTATAAGAAACTGCCAAAACTTTTTCCCAAAGTAGTTACACCATTTTACATTCCCATCAGCAGTGTATGAGAGTTCATTTCCTCCAAATTCTTGCCCAATGCTTGATATAGTCAGTCTTTTAATTTTAGCTAATAATTTGATAGTGCCTACTCATTGTGATTTAAATTTTCCTTTCCTTAATGACTAATGACATTGACTATCTTCTCATATGCTTATTTATCATCTGTATGTCTTCTTTAGTAAAGTATCTGTTGAAATCTTTTGCCCGATTTTAAAGTTGGGTTGTTTTCTTATTTCTGTATATATTCTGGATACAAGTCCTTTATCAAAGATATACTTTGGAAATATTTTCTCTGAGTTTTTAATTTGTCTCTTAATTTTCTTAACTGTTTTTAGAAGGACATAGTTTTAATTTTGATGAGTCTATTTTTTCTTTTATGGATTATACTTTTGGTATCATGTATTAAATTTGCCTCACCTAAGATTGCAAAGATTTTATTTTTTATTTTCTTCTAAAATTTTTATGACCTTGGGTTTACATTTTAAATATATGATCCGTTATGAGTTAATCTTTGTATGTGTAGTAAGAATGGACCAAAGATTGTTTTTTACACATGGGTATCCATTCAAAATTTTACTTTCTCATATTTGCACACCATACATCTTACTAAGGATTGATATCAAAGATATACAAAGAACTCATAAAGCTCTATAAAAACAAAACAAATAATCCAATTTAAAAAAAAAACTAAACAGACACTTCTCCAAAGAAGACATTTGAACAGCCAATGGGAACAAGAAAATGCAAATCACAATGTAAATTAAGATCACAATAAGACATCATCTCACACCTGTGAGAATAGTCCATATCAAAAAGACCAGAAGCAAGAACTGCTGGCAAGGATGTGGAGAAAAGGGATAATTGCTTTCTACACTGCTGGTAGGAATGCAAACTGGTCCAGCCCTTATAGAAAGCAGTATGGAGGTACCTCAGAACATTCAAAATGAATCTGCCATTGGATCCAGTAATTCCACTTCTAGGCATCTACCCCTAAAATTCAAAAACACTAACTTGAAAGGAAACTTGGCACTGTCATGTTTAGTGCAGTGCTATTTATTATAGCTTAATTATGGAAACAACCAAAGTGCCTCAAAACAGATGAGTAGATCAGAAAAAGATGTGGTATATGTACACAATAAAATTTACTCAGCAATCAAAAAAGGTAAACTTATGCCATTTGTGGCAACCTGGAGGAGCTTGCAGTGATAATGCAAAGTGATATAAGCCAGAAGGAGAAAGATAAATACCAGACAGTGTCACAGATACGAGGAATATAAAGTAACTAAACTAATACTCAGCACTCTGTACAAGCAAGTTCAGTCATCACAGTAAGAGGTCATCAATCCAGAGTCCCACAGTACGAAATTCAGATGAATCATATTATACAACAAATACAGATTTTCTCTGGAGAGAATTGATAATTGCTTCCATAAAGCAATATGAAGGGTAGTTTCTCCCTCTAAAGAAAAGTTCTCTAGTATTTTTTAGCATCAGAAATTCCTACCTTTCGTCTCAAGGTATTGCCTGACATTAAGCCACTATTAAAATGTTTGTTATTAAATAGAGGAGAGACTGGCATGTGAGGAAAAATTCTCCCTTGCATTAGTATTGGTTTCTAATTATTAAATAACAACTCCTAGAAGAGTAGTTATCTATTACCATGTGCACCAAGATTCTTAGCACAAAGTAAAAGAATCAAGTATAAGACAAGTTACGTTTTAATAAAGGAATAGGAAAGAGGCAGATTGAGGTGGCAGTAACTGGCAGCAGCGCAGAGGACACTGGACACAGGAAAGGATGTGGGATGAGGAAACAGAGATCCCAAAGGTTGTTCCTACTGTGAGTTTGCCTTACAATGGATCTTCTATTTTATGTGTATTAAGGGAAAGTTAAATACCTACATAAAGAGAGTTTTTAAGGTTGACTGTTATGTCACCTTTGCAGAAAACAATCTAGGTATCTATACTGATTTTTTTTAATTTATGGCTTGATTTAATTACTTAAAATATGATTGTACCTAAACTGAAAATATTTTCTTTTGATAGAAGTTAGCGAACATGCAAAGACCTTACCCAAAGTCACCAAGGGAAAAACAGACGTTGATGATGTAAAATCTATACTGAAAGATCTGAGGATTGATTTTCCGGAAGAAGAATTAGAGAAGGTGCTTGCATCTGTTTCTGTTGATAGTAAGCATTTTCTTTTTTTTTTGAATACTTGATTATATTACATATAAAACTCATTATTACTTTCACTCATAAATCCACGGAGCTGAGTGATTAAGAATCAAATGTAATGAGTTCGATTACATTAGAATTTTTCCCACTAGGTTTGAGAATTTGGATGAGAATTTGTTCTAGATTGTCCTTGTAGTGAATATTCTAGGCTAGTATAATCTTCCTCTCCCCTATTTATTTGCCTCCTGAGATCTAAATCATGTGTTGTTTTTTTCTGATACCACATTGTTCTCAACAAGATTGCAACGAGTACTCTTAGAAACATTTTTATCACATGTTAAAATTTAATTAAAATTTGGCATATAACTGTAGAAATTTAAGGTGTACAACATTAATTTGATAATCTTATAATGTGATTTAATATATAACTTATAGATTATATAACATGTAAATATTTTATATATTATTATTGCATTGTAGCAATAATTAGCCTCTTAAAAATATGGAACTCTTTATACATTTGCAAGTCATCCCTGTGCAGGAGCCGTGCTAATCTCTGTAACTTTCCAGTTTTATATGCATGCTGCTGAAGTGAGCACAAATCATGTGTTCTTATTGGTTAATAGTAGTGAAGCTGTCTCAAGTTCATGAGACAAAGGCCTAAACCTTAGGATGGTGATACAACCAGTTTGATTTCTTCACAAAAGTGCTATGCTGGTGTCTTTTTCAGTCTTGCCTGTGAAATGTTTAGCTACATGCAGAGCCTCTGGTGTTCTTTATCTTAGTTCAAAATATATGACTGATAGAAAGCAAAAACGCCATATTTCCTTTATTACTATGTCTTTGCTTGTAAGTATAGATACCTGGTTGAGTTTGGTTTGTGGATGCTTATCTTCCAGAGGGCAAATTGTCTTCCATGAAAGTATAATTGTTATAATAGAACTAACTTGTAAAACTAAAAAATTAAAGAGAATATCATAATCAGCGAGGAAATATTCCAGAACAATGACCACACTGGTTAAGGTGTATATAAAGGCCATAAAATGCTCATTGACTGTATAACCACAAGAGTCATAGTAATTGTCTTCATCTTCATAGTTATTCTGAAATGTGTTAGTAGAATCAGAGTCAGAAAAACAGCACTCACTTTGGTTTTCATGTTTAGATAGGTATGCATTATCTTCTGACTTTATTCTTTTACATCTTTGGACCAAAGATCATTCATTTATGTTTTATTTTCAGATGAAGGAAAGTGGACTCAAATGATTGCTTGATTGGGTTGCAAACACTATGTTTTTCAAAGGATTCAAGCAAATGAGAACTTTTAACAAAAATAATTTTGATTGGAATCATTTAGGCATTTGTATGGTTTTCTTATACAGAGAGTAACTCAAGTATATGGAAAAAATGTGCTTTGCTTAAAGAATCAATAGAAGATTCTAGGCCTGACCTTTCTTTTTTTTTTTTTTTTTTTATTTTTATTTTTATATTCCCCATACAATTGCAATCCCCCCATTCTGACCCCAATCCCTCCCTCCCGCCCCCCACTCCCCAAAAAGTGTCTCTGGTTCATAGTTTTTGTTGATTTTGATTTTCACTTTCTTATAGTTATTCATTTTCCTGGTCCCTTATTTAAGTTTTCTAGATCCCTGCTATGAGTGAGACCATCCGGTATTTTTCCTTTTCTTTTTGGCTTATTTCACTGAGCATGATCCCTTCCAGCGTCATCCATGTTGCTGCAAATTGCATGTGTTTATCTTTTTTGAATGCTGAGTAATATTCCATGGTATATATGTACCACATCTTCTTGATCCAGTCATCTATTTTTGGGCATTTGGGCTGTTTCCAACGCTTAGCTATTGTAAATAGTGCTGCTATAAACATAGGGGTGCAGGTGTTCTTTGGAATTGATGTTTCTGTGTTCTTTGGGTAAATACCTAGGAGTGGAATTGCTGGATCCTGTGGAAGCTCTATGTTTAGTAGGTCCAGAAATCTCCACACAGCTCTCCATAGTGGTTGGACCAGTTTGCACTCCCACCAACAGTGCAGAAGAGTTCCTTTTTCTCCACAACCTCGCCAACATTTGTTGTTGCTAGTTTTTTTAATATGTGCCATTCTCACTGGTGTAAGATGGTATCTCATGGTAGTTTTGATTTGCATTTCCCTGATTGCAAGTGATGTTGAACATTTTTTCATATGCCTGTTGGCCATTCGCATTTCCTCTTCAGAGAAGTTTCTTTTTAGTTCCTCTGTCCATTTTTTTGACTGGATTATTTTCTTTGTTGTTGTTGAGTCTCATCAGCTCTTTGCAGATTTTTGTGATCAGTCCTTTATCATTAGTGTTGGGTGCAAAATTTTCTCCCAGTTGGTGGGGTTTCTCTTTGTTTTTGTTATTGTCTCTTTTGCTGTGCAGAAGCTCTTTAATTTGATGTAGTCCCAGCTGTTGATCTTTGCCTTCACTATCACTGCTTTGGGTGATGTGTCTGTAAAGATGTCTTTGATATGCAAATCACGTAGTGTTTCACCTATGTTTCCTTCTATGTATTTTATGGTTTCAGGTCTTATGTCTAGTTCTTTAATCCATTTTGAGTTGATTTTTGTATATGGTGTGAGGTAGTGGTCAAGCTTCATTCTTTTGCATGTAGCAACCCAGTTTTCCCAGCACCATTTATTGAACAAACTTTCTTTGCTCCAATGCATAGTCTTTGCTCCTTTGTCAAAGATTAGTTGACCATAAATCTGTGGGTTATTTCTGGATTTTCTATTCGATTCCATTGGTCTGTATGTCTGTTCTTGTTCCAATACCATGCAGTTTTGATGATTATGGCTTTGTAGTAGAGTTTGAAGTCTGGGAGTGTGATGCCTCCATTCCCTTCTTTTTTTTCAGGAGAGCTTTGGCTATTCGGGGTTTTGGTGATTCCATATGAATTTCATCAATAATTGTTCTATTTCTTTGAAGAATGACATTGAAATTTTGATTGGAATAGCATTGAATCTGTATATTGCTTTGGAAGGATGGCCATTTAATAATGTTTATTCTCCAATCCATGAGCAGGGGATGTCTCTCCATTTCTTTGTGTCTTCTTCTATTTCTTTTAACAGTGTTTTATAGTTTTCTTTGTATAGGTCCTTTACCTCTTTTGTTAGATTTATTCCCAAATATTGATTTTTTTGTTTCAATAATAAAAGGGATGGTTTTTTGATTTCTTCTTCTTCAGATTTATTGTTTGTATATAGGAAGGCTACTGACTTTTGCGTGTTGATTTTGTATCCTGCCACTTTACTGAACTGATTGATGAGTTGAATTAGTTTTTCTGTGGCGTTTTGGGGTTCTCTATGTATATTATCATATCATCTGCAAAGAGTGATAGTTTGACTTCTTCTTTTCCTATTTGGATTCCTTGGATGTCTTTCTCTTGTCTTATTGCTCTGGCTAGGACTTCCAGTATTATATTGAAAAGCAGTGGTGAAAGTGGACATCCTTGTCTTGTTCCAGATCTTAATGGAATTGCTTTCAGCTTTTCACCATTGAGAATGATACTGGCTGTTGGCTTGTCATATATGGCCTTTATGATGTTGAGGTACGTTCCTGTATCCCAAGAATTTCAAGGGCTTTTATCATGAATGGGTGTTGCACTTTGTCGAAAGCTTTCTCAGCATCTATTGATATTATCATATGGTTTTTATATTTCTTTTTGTTGATGTGTTGGATAACGTTGATTGATTTTCGGATGTTAAAACCATCCTTGTGTCCCTGGAATGAATCCTGCTTGGTCGTGGTGAATTACCTTATGGATACACTGTTGGATTCTGATAGCTAAAATTTTATTGAGGATTTTTGCATCAGTGTTCATTAGGGAGATTGGCCTATAGTTTTCTTTTTTTGTGTTGTCCTTGTTCGGTTTTGGTATTAGTGTAATGTTGGCTTCATAGAACGTGTTAGGTATTATACCTTCCTTCTCAATTTTTTGGAAGAGTTTGTGAAGGATAGGTACCAATTCGTCTCTGAATGTTTGGTAGAATTCATTTGTAAATCCATCAGGTCCTGGGCTTTTGTTTTTGGGGAGGTTTTTGATTACCATTTCAATTTCGCTAATTGTAATTGGTCTGTTTAGGTGTTCTATTTCTTCTTTATCTAGCTTTGGGTGATTGTAGAGTTGTAGGAATTTGTCCATCTCCTCTAGATGTTAAACTTGTTTCCATATAACTGTTCATAGTAGTTATTAATAATTCTTTTGATTTCTGCTGTGTCCGTTGTGATTTCTCCTCTTTCATTTATTATCCTATTTATTTGTGCTTTCTCCCTTTTTGCCCTTGTGAGCCTGGCAAGGTTTATCTATTTTATTTATTTTTTCGAAGAACCAGCTCTTGGTTTCATTGATCTTTTGGATTGTTTTTTAGTTTCGATTTCATTTATTTCTGCTTTGGTTTTTATTATTTCTTTTCTTCTACTGGTTTTGGGGATTTTGTTGTTCTTTTTCTAGATCTTTGAGTTTCGAGATTAGGTTGTTTCTTTGAGTTCTTTCTTGTTTCTTGATGTGAGCATCTATTGCTATATATTTTCCTCTTATTACTGCTTTTGCTGCATCCCATACATTTAGGAAATTGGTGTCCTCCTTGTCATTCAATTCAAAGAATTTTTTAATTTCTTCTTTTATCTCCTCGTTAGTCCAGTGGACTTCCAGTAGTGTGGGTTTCAATCTCCACGAGGTAGGAGAATACCTTGCCTTCTCTTTATGGTTTATTTCTAGTTTGATGCCTTCATGGTCAGAAAAGATGGTTGGTATGATTTCAATCTTGGTGTATCTGTTGATGTTTGTCTTGTGCCCCAGTATATGATCGATCCTAGAGAATGATCCGTGTGCGCTTGAGAAAAATGTATACTCAGATTTTTTTGGGTTTAGTGTTCTATATATGTCTGTTAAGCCTAAGCACTCTAGATCCTTATTTAGAGCTTTAGTGTCTTTACTTATTTTTTGTCTTGTTGATCTATCCATTGTGATAGTGGTGTGTTGAAGTCTCCCACTACGTATGTGTTTTCTCTGATGTCTGTTTTCAGAGATGCCAATAGTTGTCTGATATATTTTGGTGCTCCTTCGTTTGGTGAATATATGTTAATGAGTGTTATTTCTTCTTGAAGTATTATCCCCTTGATCATAATGTAATGACCACTGGGGTCTCTTTTTATCTTTTTAAGTTTGAAATCTGTTTTATCTGATATGAGTATAGCTGTTCCTGCCTTCTTTTTTGGTCCATTTGCTTGTAGAATTGTTTTCCATCCTTTAACTTTGAGTCTATTTTTATCTTTTGCAGCTAAATGTGTTTCCTGGAGACAGCAAAAGGTTGGGTTTTGTTTCTTAATCCAGCCTGCAACTCTGTGTCTTTTTATTGGAGAGTTTAGTCCATTTACATTTAGAGTTAGTATTGATATGTTAGCATCTGTATTTGCCATTGTGTTTGTCTTTCCTTTGATTTTATTTATTTATTCTTTTAATAACTTTCTTTGGCCTTCTTTTGTTGTTATTCGTCCCTCTGAGGTTCTGGCTTTAGGACTCCTTGTAGTATTTTTTGGAGTGGGGGTTTAGTCGCAATGAAATT